CCTATTCGAGCCCAGCCCTATGTCATTTTGTATGCCAAGAAAATTAGTTGCCTATTATTATTATTGCTCTTCAGTTTGGTTGCGCCTTGGGGTGCCAGTTTCTTCATACACTATGAATGTGTGTGTGTGTGTGTGTGTACGTGCGTGTGCGTTCGCTGTATTTGTGGCATTATGTTTATTGTTTATAATTGAATTAAGCGTGAAATTGTGCAGACAACAATGCAAATTTGTCTGGTAAAATTCATTAAACAAAAACAAATGAATGAGTTAGCAAAGGGCAAATACTCTTTGTGTGCCATTTATTAAAGATATTATATGTAAAGCCCCATGTTCCAACTTGTATTATCACATAGAACCATTTGCTTCTATACTTTATAATCATCTTGTGATTCATGTTTTCCTCCCATGTTTCATCTGTCAAGCATAACATATTATATTAATTCTTGACTCATGTGCGAACATGCCGAACTATAATCTATATATAGGGTATATGTTATACGCATTTACGTGCCTTGATCTTGTTATTTTTCCCATTAATTGGCATTGATCCAGCTTTATCGATCAAGTTTTTTCCATGAATTTTAACTTTTTTTCAAATAATTGGATGCTTAGCGTAAATATATACCTATAGAATATGGCATATGCATATATCCGAGACTATTTGAAAGCAATGGAAAATTGAATTCATTGTCAAAAAACGAGAATCAAGAATCTGAAATTAAACATTAACGAAAAATATTCATCTTGAGGGAGTTTTTATTGTTCTTTTTATAAGAAAGCTTAGCACGTTCGAATCAAATGAATAGCGCGTGACAGATCGTACTTCCGACTTTTGAATGAACTGTTTTCGTTGAATGTTTTATTATTTAATTTATCTACCTTTTTGTTGACAAACATTAAAGCTCATAAAGAAGTGGTCTGGACACCTTGAGTTTAAGCCTTGTTTAAAAGGCAACAGTTCGCTTAACCGCACTGCTTTGTGGCGGTGTCAACATACTCTTTCAGCTGTTTGGCAATGCTCGTGGGTGTGAGCTGCTGATTACTCAAGAAAATGTCAATGTAAATAAGATTCGCGGAAAATGAACAGCGACGTCAGCAGCGGCGCTCGCGGCGCAGCTAGCGCAGCTTACTCATCAATGCTGATAGCTGAGCCATCGCTGCTGCTGCAGTTGCAGTTGCTGCAGCTTATCGTTGTCATATCCAACACATTTTAGCTGTCTGAGCGTCTGGTCAGCTGTCCGACTGCACACTGCCCACTACCCACTGGCTGCACCCCTGCTGCTCGCTTATCTTGCCTTAGTAAAGTTAAAACTTGTTGCTTTTGTTGTTTTTGCAGCGCTGGCGCCGTCGCTGGTTCACGCTGAAACAGGGCGAGATACCGGAGCAGTTTTGCCTCGAATACTATACGGATCAGCAGTGCCGCAAGCTGAAGGGTGTTATCGATTTGGATCAATGCGAGCAAGTTGACTGCGGCCTGCGCTTAGAGAATCGCAAGCAAAAGTTTCAGTATATGTTTGACATTAAAACGCCGAAGCGCACATATTACTTGGCTGCCGAGACCGAAGCGAGCATGCGCGACTGGGTGAACTGCATCTGTCAGGTGTGCCATCTGCATGATACGAAGCAATCGAATGATTTGCCTCTAGGCGCCACAGCAATATCGACAGCAGCAGCTGCCGCTGCAGCAGCTGGTAAGTGTTAATCAAATCTTTAACTGGTCTACAGACTACTTTCACCTGGCCAATTCCTTTCACTGCAGATGAGAATCGCAGCGCACAGCAGCATACCAGTTCGAGCGGCGCCTTGAGCAACTCCACACAAAATACAACAACCACTTCGTTGCACTCCTCGGCTGGGACTACGGCCAATTCGCTGCTGCGTCGGCCAGCGGTCATTGATCAGCAGCCGCAGAGCTCCAACAACAACTCAGACTCGGTCTATGTGAATACGGACTACAACAATCGCGAAACATTGCTCTGCGATGCACATTTCGATCAGCAGCAGTTGCTCTCGGCTGCACAGCAACAACCGCCACCGTCGCCTGCAACGGCGCTCTATTTGAATCAGAGCGCTCTGATCCAGGCACAGGCTCAAGCACAAGCGCAGGCTGCAACTACAGAGCAACAACAACAGCAACAAGAACAGGAACAGGCAAAGGCACAGGCTGCTGCACGTCTCGCCATCAATTCGAATGGCGTGGTCCGTAAGCTGCCCGAGCAGCTGGTGTTAAATCAACAAACATTGGCTGAGGCCATATCACAGCAGCATGGCAGCAGCGTGCAGGCATCGCCGGCGCTGAGCACTGCCTCGGGGCCGTATATACCCATTAGTGAATGCTTTACGGGCAGCCCAAAATTTTTATTGGATAGCCACGCCAATGCGGCGGCTGCTCTTAACAATTTGGATCCCAAATTCTATGATACGCCGCGCAGCCACAACAACATTGGCCTCAACTTAACCAACGATCAATCCTATTCACCTAAAATTACCAACTGCAGCTTGGTGAGCTCTTAAATACATTGAAAATATTTAACTATTTGCTAATGTGATTGCATTTACTATTGCAGCAACAACTGGCAAACGCCAGTGGAAAGCAGCGTAGTCAACGCTCTGATTCTGACTCAGAGAGCGTTTTTACAGACGACGATGAGTGGGCGCATCCGTTGCCATTACGTGAGAATGTTGGCAAGTGAAAAAGATATATATACATATATCTTCAGCATATCGATTGTATAGTTCGATTTTAACTAAAAAACTTTTCTGTTTTAGATCGCAGTACACGCCCATCGGATAGTTCCATTGAGAACGAATCCTTTGTGTTAACCTATTCGCAGCGCTTCTCGAAGATGCCAGAAGATGGAGCTGCATTGGTGCCGTCAGGCTCTGCCAGGCATGCCAAGCAGCTGGCTACAATACCAGCCACAGCAGCTGATGGCGCTGGTGAGCATCATACGCTGGAGAGGCTAGCCAAGGTGCTGAAGAACAAAAATAATCTTATACTGGACTTTAAGGATAACGAAAAGTAATCAGAGCTCACACTCAAATTCGATGTGTATTAAATCTTTCCAATTTATAGATTACAACGAGATTTGCCACAGCTGTCGGACACGGAGAACACATCGCCAGCGATTGTGGCCACACGACATGCGAATTCGTCGTTGATAGAAGAGAGCTATGACATTCCACGCTCACATCAGTTGCCCTATTGCAATGTGGGTCAATTGTTGGGCGAACGACCGGTTACCAGTCCGCACAATAGTAATCCCATAGCTGCTTCCACACCTAATCTGATGGCCGATACGTGCATTGCTGCACTAGCTAACCAGGTGGTGCCATCAGCAACGACAACGGCAACCACAACGGCAGTCAATTCGCCAACCAGTGCACGCACGCTGCCTCGCCAGCATTGTTATACTAATGCCGCGCCCACTCGCATGGAGGGCAATGTGTTTCGATATGATTTCATTAAACAAGCCGATTGCCCGCCTGTTAATCGCAAGCTAAAGCCTAAGGCATCCAACACGCCGCTGGAAGCTACGCACAAGAGCAGCGTGGAGGATAAACCGCCCGAGGAATTCCCAGCCAAGCCACCCGTGTGCACCATGGAGCAGCTGAGCAGCAAGCTGAGCGGAACCAAACTGCAGTCCAGTGCGCCACCCAGTGTGGATCGCAAATGCAAACCAAATGCTTATAAGGTATGAGCTAATATAGCTACTCTGACTACTGATTATTTAACTGGTTATTGTATTTTGAAATCTTATAAAGTTGGGCTCATCGGCTACCATGTCGCCGTCAACGCGTCGCTCGTCTGGCGCTCCGCTTTCGATGGTGCTGCCGCATGAAACGGATGTTCATTCACCGACAGCTATCGCCTATTTGCATGAGACGCGTACCCTGCCACGTCAGCAGCATCGTCAGCATCCCAGCAGCCCCGGCAGCCAATCAGTGCAGCATCAACGCACAGCATCTGCAGCAGCAGCCATGACCTCAACATCAGTCGCAGCCGCAGTAGCTGCCGCAACGGTAGCGGCATTCAAGCAAAGCCAACAGCAACAACAGCAGCAGCATCCAGAGCACAAGCTGCAGTACTTTGATCTGGATGTTGCCAACAAACCGCAACTACTCAACCGTCAGAGCATGAGCGTAGGTAATCTATATTCCCAAGGTAAATCTGCTCTGAATCAACCGGCGCGTCTAGGTGCCACTGATGCTGCTGCAGTGCGGGCGCCGGTGCAAAGCAGCGTAGTCTACAACTTTGTGGACTTTGTCAAGACGGAGGCGTTCAAGCGCATACGCGAGGAGCGCAACAAGGAGAGCAGTGAAAACAATAACAAATGAGCTGCGCGCACGCTTCCAAATTAATGACTCACATTTTGTATAATTTGCAATAGCGTCATGCGAAACTCTGCTGTAGTGCCTGCAAAAGCTGTCTAAACAGTGCAAATTCTAAGTGGCTTTCATATTCATACCGCGCACACACACACACATACATCCATATCCATATACATATTGATTTATATAGCCACATAAGTTAGTTATTTTAAGTTGTATTGTGCCCTTAGCACCAGTTTGTGTGCTTTTTAAAAATGCTGCTGTGCGTCTTTTCAATGTGCTTCCAATTTCCAAATCAATGCATGTTTTAAACCCCTTTTAAGTGCTATTTTATATAAATATGTATACACACACACACTCCCACACTTACACACACAGATACATAAACTATTTATACACACCACGAATTTTTATGGTAACCATTTATATACAATTTATACTAAGTGTAAGTGTAACTCGTGTGCGACACAAGCTGTTGCTTGATATTGTGCTTTAATAAAACAACTTTTATAGAATTATATTAAAATTTAATTTAATTTAATTGGTCAATAATTATTGCACCCCTTTATTTTGTGGTATAATGCAACCCCGAAAAATCTTAAAAACTTTGCAAGTTTTATTCGAAATGTTGCTAGAGCAACAGTCAAATTTGTGTAGCAACCGTTTGGAAGTGTTTTGAAACTAGGCAACGTTGAATTTAGTTACATACAGATATTTTTAATTACAAGCTAGCACTACAAATATATTTTCAGTAAAATACAGATTTCGCCAGATTATCATATATATACATATATATTCAAGCGCAAAAAGGAAGTCATTTTGTAAGGACTCAAGTCATGTCGCTGGTCTACATAACACATCATAATGAGAATATTTTTGATTTGGAGCGGGCGCCCGAGAAGCCGCCGGAAAATCGTCCAGTAGTCAATAGTAAATAGAGCGAAGAAATTTTTTCTTAATAGCATATCTAACGTATGATACCATCCGGCAGGTACGTCCACAAAAGCAGCTGCATATGCTAAGGAGCGGCGTGATCGTCTAAATATAGAGCGCAAGAAGCATGATGTTATCTTGCTAAAGGGAGGCGTCCGCTTGCTCACCGATGCCAAGAAGGCATATCATCGCACCATGGGCTGTGCCAATGTGCCGCTCGATCCGCCGTGCGCCTTCTTGCGCAAGAATCAGGGTGTCAAATGGCGTCGCGAGAATTTGCACGTGTGCCCCAAAAGTGACAACATGCCACCTCTGCCGCCGATGGGCAAAAAGGTTACAAAACCGGACATGGTGCCGAATTTTGTTAACCGTAATAAGATTTGTGCAAGTAGCTTCGTGCGCTGTCCGCCGCCTCCACGCTATGTGGACACACCCGGCGGCACACGCCAGAATTTGTTGAACTCGGGCATGGTGCCGCAGTATGTGTGCCGCAAGGACTTTGGGAAGGTCCCCGTTTACATACAGAAGACCAAAGCTATGCTCAAAGAGGCACACACCATCTGCTGTAAGGAACGGGCACGTCTCATGGAGGTTTGCGGCGGCACGAAGCTGACAGAATCATTAACCGAAATGACGCAACCAGCACGTGCCGATGGAGCACCGCCTGAGATGCCAGGCATGCGCGTAATGGATCAAGAGGAGCGTAATGAAATACTTGTGGGTCTTCGCGCTCATCTGAATGAGATGACCAAGAATTATCAGTCGATGCCCTTGCTGATTGACAGCGAGAACAAGCGTCAGCGCAAGGGCAAGTTGGAGAGTGACTTGCGACAGCTCGAGCAGGATATGCTGCTGCTCGAGACCAGTCCCATTATCTATGTTTCACTGTATTAAGTTATGTTGCTTAACTAGACAAACATGCACTTATAATCTACGTTCGAATAAAATTTAACGGGCATATTCTAGATTTCGACACCTGATCAAACCGCACAGATTCAACGAGAAAATTGGAAAAAGAAAACAGCTTGAAGCTTGCGGCATTGATTTGGTATTGAAATTTAGAGAGGCACTGTTCAAGTTTATGCATCCAAAAGCTCCAAGGCGTAGCTACCATGGCAGTAGGGACACAGCAGCGAGCTACCGGGTTCGTAAAGCTCCAGTAGTAGCTGTTTTTCCATCAAAGCCTGGCGTCCGCAGAGCGTGCAGTAGTGACGTTCCAGCGAGGGAGTTAGCTGGGGGAGATATGAATCTGTCAGTTGTGTGTAGTGTTAGATATAACTAACTAGACCTTCACCTGCATATAGGAGATCGCGCACAGGTGTTCTGCATCCTCGAGCATTATCTCTGGCACATTCAGCTTCACCTGCAGTAGCTCAAAGTGCTCCTCCATTTCAGCTTGAGCAAAGTGCTTAATAGCCACATTATTTGCCTTCTCACGTAACAGTTGCTGCCTCAGCTGCAGTCTAATTCGTTCACTGGCCGCCAATTGGCATTGCGCTGACTGTCGCTGAAATGCAGTCAGCTCCTGCAGATTGCTCAAGTACTGAAGACGCAGACGTATATGCGTCAGCTCAATCAAGCTCAATAGCAGTTGAAATTCGTGCTCGATTTGCTCGAGCAGATATTGATTGCGTTGGTCACGCTGTGCTAAAATTAATGTATCGAGGACGTGGTACTTGAGCTGCAGCTGCTGCAGTTGTGCGTCTGTGGCATCATTATCAAAGTTGAAGCCTTCGATTGGCGAATAGTCTATATAGTCATCCAGCTTGGGCCTTTGAAAGATATCCAGGCGTATTTCCACCAAAAGATCTAAATAGCTGTTCATGGATACACTGGGCAAGATGCATTGAGTAAGCTTGTCCAGCACGTTGCCTGCTTGTATTTTGCCCACGCGGATGTGCAAGATATTACGCCGTATTGTCTTATTGAACAGATACTCTTTGTTGCGTGTGGAGAGGATGGTAATTAGGTTTTTGTTGGGACTGCTCCATAACCCAAGTGGCTGTTCGTTTTCCGTGTCGTCTACCTCGATTGAGCGCATGCTAGTGCTCAGCTGGCCGGGCTTGTGGCTGAGCTCGACTAGGCAAAGTTGTCCGCGTGCTGTGACCAAAGCATAGTTGTTGTTCCCCACATCGCAGAAACCTTTTGATTGTAACAAGAATAAATATTAAAAGTATGAAACGGTAAATTGTGACTGTAGAGATCACCTGTTATCTTCATGCCACCTGTATGTAGACGGGTCTCCAACCAGTGGCCACTTGTCTCTCTGGGCATACACCAGATGAGCAAGTGCGCTGACTTGCAACAAGCTATATAATAACAATCCCGTGTCGGACAGTGTGTAATCAGAGCCTGTTGCAGGCCGAGGCGATCCGGGCGCAGCCAAAGAGTCTTAACCAGACAGAGACTCTCCCCTTCTGCAGCGCTGAACCTGTAGAGATGCACCAGGCCATTGTTGTCGCTCACAAGCAGCAGATCCTCGTAGATGTACATAAAACAAATGCGACCCAGGAGTGTCTGCAACTCGGAATGGGCTACCAGAGTTGATGCATTGCTGCATAAAGTCAGTGTCCATATACTGCCGGCAGCTGTTCCCAGGACGAGCTCAAAGTTCTCCCCCCTTTGTACTGAACGCCAAGCGAGCATGGTTATCCAACTGCGATCCATATAGCCCTGATAGTGTCGGAATGTCTTGATCGTTGCAGCTGGAATTTCATACGGTGGCTGCAATGTATCCCGCAGCGTGGCGGCCACATCGATACCCTTCTTGTAGGATACCCAAAGAGGCTGCTCTGGAAGCTTACTCAACAAATGCAGTGCGCCATAGCTGTTCAAGCTGGCCATCAGCATTCTGCCATCGGGCAGCAGGTGGTTGGCCAATTTAGCGGCTATGCGATTGGGTGCGGGCACATCCTGTGCACAAATGGTTGTGTAAACGGAGTCCAGGCTGAGGTGTTGTTGCTCCAGAACATTGCCGCTTTCATAGATCTGCTGGAGATTCACCTGCTCCGCCAGCTGGTCCAATGGTCGTATTTTGTTTATGCACTTCCAGGTGGCCAGGGTATAAGGAAAGGGCAGCTGACGGCGCGACTTGCAATTCAATTCGAGAGTAACTACCTCCGTCTTGGAGCCTATCAACGAAATGCAGTTGCCATCGGTTGTGTAGGAAACAAAGTCATGAACAGTTTCCTGCCTGAGTTCGTGATTACACAGTACATGAAAGATCATAGCTGCAAGACAAAAATTATAAACAAACTTAAGCAAAAACACAATATATTATCTGAAATGTGTTCATTTTCAAATTATCGCGTTTAATACTTTTTAATTAGCTCTTTTAATCTGTCGTTCTGCCGGCAGACGCAGACGCAGACGCGTACAGAGCGAGCACAACAAAAAATGCGCGAATTTCACACATGCCTAAAAATTTTGTGACATACACTCACACACACATACACTTTGTAAACTTTTTATATTGCTCATTTGTTATTCACCTTTGCCATCGCTAGCGTTTGCTTCAGTAGCTTTTTTCATTTCAAAGTGAATGCAACAGCCAAAAGAAGCTAGCCACAATGTCAGCTAAGAATGGCGTTGAAATGGTTAAAAAAGTAGCCGAATTTATTTCCAAAGGCAAAAGTTTTGATCGCGTCACTCAAATGGTGAGTGCACCTGAATATTTTTGTAAAGAAAGGACGTAGAAACGACGCACTAATCAGCTGAAATTTTGATTCGATAAATTATGTAAGAAGGACTATCGATAACGCGCTACATTTGAATGTTACAGGTTAAAATAACGAGTGGCGGCGAAGGGCGTTGCGTGGGCGAATTTACTGTTGAGGCTGAGCATTTGAATCGCGTAGGCTCGCTGCATGGCGGCTTAACGGCCACCATATTAGATAATGTAACTACTTATGCACTGATGTCAAAGGGCTCACATCCTGGTGTTAGCTCTAGTTTAAATGTGAGCTATATATCTGCAGCCAAACCTGGAGATGTTATAGAAGTGGATGCCAACACGATGCATGCTGGACGCAAGATGGCATACATCGAGTGTGTGCTCCGAAATAAAGCGGATGGCAAAATCATTGCCAAAGGTGGACAAACCAAATATGTGGACTTTAATACACAATCGAGCTAATAAATGTAATTGCTTATAAAACTAAACAAATAAAAGATAGCTCAATTAGCTGTATTCGCTCTATTGACGTCATTACATGCAAATGAGACGATCTGCGTTATCTACCGAATGTGAAGAACCATGAACTATCGATAACAGCACATAGCCGCTCATCTCTAGAGCTTATTGATATGATTTTTTTTATTTGCTATCCACTCGTTTCATAACAACAGAAATATGGGCACACGCAAAAAGGGCTTGTAGTTCGCTAAGCATATTTCAGAGATTATTGCCAAGGCCACAGGCTTTGAGCGACACTTGGAAAAGGTATGAAGATGTTAGCTTTAGAATCGACAGAGGCTAATGGATTCAACCTTTATCTAGGTAAAAATATTGGATGGCGGCGATGGCATTTGCACTGCAGAATTTACCGTTGCTCCAGAGCATCTAAATAAAGCTGGAGGATTGCATGGCGGCTATACGGCGACTTTAGTAGATATGATAACGACCTATGCGCTGATGTCGAAGCCCTGCCACCCAGGTGTCTCAGTTGACATCAATGTTAGCTACCTGAAAACGGCTCGTGTGGGCGATGAAGTGCTCATCGAGGCTAATTTAGTGCGAGCTGGAAAGACGCTCGCATTCCTCGACTGCCAGTTGCGGCACAAAAAGGACAACTCAGTGATAGCCAAAGGATCGCACACTAAATACGTAAACTTTCAGTAGATAGTGTGTGCTAAGTTTTGATATTGTGCTTTATTGTTTACACGTGTAGCAGTAGATATTTAGTTAATTTGTTAATTAATTGTTTGTTGCTCTGTGTGCGTTATGGTTAAGAGTTAAAGGCGGCTTCCATTGATAAATACTATGAATCCTTGACTGTCTCTATACTCGAGTTTGATTTACGTTTCCGTGCTCTCGAATGGAAACCGCCTTCTAGTGTTAATGTGGCTACTAAGTTTAAGAGGGGCGTTGATTAATTGTTAAGTCGATATGCAAATGGCTGTCTCAATTGTCCAGCTTCTTTTTGGTTGGCATTGTGGGGCAGTGCGGGCAGCAGGCCTCTGGCGGTGTCAGTGGTTCAATGCCTGGCGGGCAGCTGATCTCGCCGCATTGTTGACGCACACAGTTCACTTGGCCGTGGAAACAGTTGCACTTGGTGCACACATCCGGCGTCCAGACCTCGTTGTTCAAGCGTGTGGTGCCCTTGTCATCGACGCAGTGGCTCCGTTTGGGCTTCACAACCGCCGGCTGGGGCGGAGCAGGCGCCACTGGCTCAGCGTCGACTGCATTGCAGGAGTCCTCCAGCTTGCGCAGTTTCTTGTGCAACTTTTTCAGCTCCTTCTGGAAGCTGCCAATTAGATCCTCCAAGCCGCTAACGCGCTCCTCGTTCACTTCGTAGAGCGCTTCCAATGGGCTGTCGTAGCCCTCTGCAGTCGGAACCTCTTGCTCGCTGGACACATCACGTTTCTGGCGCTGGCTACGCTTGGTGTAGGTCTGTGGCACGAACGAGTCGAAGAGCGCTGGCTGGCTGTTGCAATTGCCGCACTCCTGCCACAGATACAAATTGATGCCGGGTATGTCCTCGCATGGCTTATAGCCGCCTTGATGCTTGGCCAGGATGAACACATTTTCCGTAACCTGATCGAAGTTGTCGCCCACATCGCAGAGGACGCGTCCCAAGTTGGCCTGCTTAATCTGCACCAGCTGCTCGGGCTGGAAGACACTCGGATTCTCGTAGTAGAAGCGATCACCATCACGCAGGCGTCGGAACTGCTCCACTAGCAGGCATTGGAAGAGTGGACCCACTTTGCCGCCCTCCACCTGATCCTCGAGTATGCCACCCAACCAGACATCAATGTTATCCGGATGTCCGTAGAGTTCGCCTAGTTTCTTTCGGATGTCCGCATTGGTGATCTCCCCGGCCAGGTCCTCAAAGTCCGTGGCAACGGTCAGATTGCAGAATTTTCTGTAGACGTTATAGCCGGGTATGCCATGATCTCTTCCACGTTGTATATTGATTGCAGCCAGATCGAGGGCCACAGCGTGTGCCGTCTGGAACAGTTTCTCCGTCAGCTCCGTATTCAGGTTCTGATCGGGAAGTTTGAGCTTGGCGGGCACAGCGAGCATGCCGCGCAGCAGAGGATCAACGCCACCTTCGTAGGCCAAACGCCAAGGAGCAAAGAAGGCTTTGTGGAGCTGCAGATGTCCTTGCGGTATGGGCTGGAAGCTGGAGTTCAAGCGATGCAGTATGGGATTGATGATGGTGTGGCCAAAGCGCAAAGCAGCCGTTGCGAATTCATTTGCAATGCTCGGATTCAGCTGGGGATTGTAGCCACGATATTCACCCAACATGGACATGCCACTCTCGCCAATAATCAAGGGCAGCCACTGCTTGAAGGTGATGTGCTGCATCTGAGCGCCCACAATCTTGCGGGACTCCTGGTACAACGTATCGCCATCCCAGTGAGGATTGATCTCGCCCAGCTTGCGGGCAATGCGATTGTGTTCGCGCATCCAAACAGTGTGCATGGCCAGCAGACCCACTTGCTCATTGACTCGAATATCGCCGGAAACGAAGCAGTTCATCTTATTCTCATCCAGATTGCGACGACAGTCCATGCCGTCCTGGGGCGCCGCGAACGGTAGCATGTCCTTCTGATTGGGGAAGTGCACGCCGACGCGGAGCAGACCCTCGTCGGAGCTGAGGTTACGCAGCTCCTGGGCGAAGGGCGTGTTGTAGCCGTACATCTGGGAGGCGTCTATGTAGGCCGTCAGCTGATTGATCTGCTCGCGATGCTGCACGCTGTCGAAGAAGAGCGAGGTCATGCCAGAGCCGCAGATGGCGCTGGACCGCACCACGTCGATGCAGCGACGATTCTGAACGCGCGGATCATTCGGGGGCACCTCAATCGGGTAGCAGGGCGGTGCCATTTCGCAGGTCTTCTTGCAGTCGATACCGTCCCAGCTCTCCGAACTAACTGATGGTATGGCATGATCCAGATCGTGGTCCAGAAACTGACCCCACTGCATGACCATGTGAGTGATGCGGGCATCGGGCGTAATCTCCTTAGTAGCCACCAGCGAGGTGGACACCAGTCGAGCACTGGGCTTGGGGTGACCCGAATACTTCAGGCCCTTGGTCCAGCCCACGGGCATGCTGAAGCCGTTCTCATAGATGGGCGGAGCGAGGCGTCTAAAGGCGGTCAGAGAAGCGCCCCACGTGGGATGCATCAGATTGTTGCAAGTGCCCTCAATGCTGCGATATCTCGAATGGAAACACATATCCGTACAGTTAGGCATCTCGCGATGCTCCATGCAGCCGGATAGCTCAGCCACCAAGTGCAAATGCTCGCGCGATAGCAGATCCCTAAACTCGTACTGTTCGCTCTCCATGGTCAGATTATCGCCCTGCTGCACATGCTTCCTAATGTTGACCAGCGTGCGCTCATAGATCTCTGCGGCACGCGCCAACTGCCTGGCCTGGCCGGTGGGAAAGCGGAAGACGCGCAGCAGCTCGCCATAGTTGGGAGGTGCACGGGACGAGCGATTGGAGAAGAGCATGTCAAGGGTATTATTAATGGCCATATCGATTTCCTTGGCTGCCTCGGCGAAGGCAATGCGCACATAGCGATCTCCGGGTGCCAGATCCACATTGTTTCTATGGAGTGGGAAGTGAAGTGAAGAGGGGAAATGAGAGGTGGGAAGGATAAGATGAGGAGTGGAGAGATGTGAAGAGACGGAATTTCAAGATAAGGGAAGAGAAGAGATAAGATGAAAAGTGAAGATGAGAGGGGAAGAGAAGAACAGAGAGAAGAAAGGTGAGAGAGAAGAAGTCATAAGATAAGAAAAGAAAAGAGAAAGAGAAGATAAGAAATCAGATAAGCAAAGAGCAGAGAGAAGAGAAGAGAGAGAAGAGAAGTCATAAGATAAGAAAAGAAAAGAGAAAGAGAAGATAAGAAATCAGATAAGCAAAGAGCAGAGAGAAGAGAAGAGTGAGAGAGAGAGAGAGAGAGGATATGAGCACAGAAGAGATGAGAAGAGTAAAGATAAGATAACATAAAAAGGGAAGAGATGATAAAAGAAAAGTAGAAGTGAATGGAAAATATATGAAAAGGGATGAGGGAAGATATGTAGTGAAGATAAAAATAGCAGAAGAGAAAAGAAAAGAAGCAGGGCAAAGAAAAGAGATAAATCAGAATTAGCTTTTTATCTATGCTGAGACTTAATCAGGACTTATGATAATATGCAAAAGTTTTAGTTGCTTGAAAACTTGCCACCGAATTGCATAATTAATATTAAAAAATGGCTCGACTTCTCACAGCTGCTCTGCTCCCTACTTTAATTGCAATTAATTTAGCCAAGATCAGAGGTGGCTTAAAACGTCGTTGTCTAATAAAAAGCCAGAAGTAAACTTTACTTATTTTTAATTTTTATTTTTATTTCTATTTCGCTATTATTTTATGTTGGGCTGCTCTTCGGCCAGCGGCAGCCGCTGACTTGGCAACGAGCGAAATTATGCCACACTCAGTTTTTTTTTTTCGCTCGTTGTTGCAGCAAGGAAAATCCTCGCCAAGCTCTGCGCGGGTGGCATTAACAACAATTCATTCCACCACATTCTATGTGGCGTTGGCCGTCGTCCGTCGCCCGTCGCCCGTCGCTCGTCGCCGTTAAAGGAATTTCCCTTTCTGGAAAGTTTCGCTGTGTAAACTTTGCCATTGTCGGCGTGGTAGGTAATAACTTAACGACCATAATACACCCTGTTGCACCACAGCCACTGCTGCTCAGTGCTTACCACTATCAACTATCGCACTATAGCGACTAAATGGCAACCACTGCCAGCCAACAGCAACAACAACTACATTTACTCACACATTTTCCCTCTCTTTCACTCTCACATACTGTGTGTCTCTTTGCAAGTGCCCCAGCCATTTTTGTGGCTGCGCTTTTTCTGGCATGCCGGCGCTTTTGTAATACCCTAACTGTTCAACTCAGACATCGAATCTGCCGTGCAGTTTAGCACATGTATATTTAAGCTATTATACAATAATAATGAAATGATAATTTAATTTATGCTTTGATAAGCTAAGCACTATGTTGCCAATGCTGTTAGTTATTTCATTCAAATTAGCTTTTGACACGCAACAATTAGTGCTGCCAATCACTCCTGCCTGCCTTGCACAAAATAGCTAAAGCAAAGTGCTGCCAAATCTGTTGGACGCTTAAATCAGCCTGCCTTGCTGATCGCACACAGCTACTGTTGTCATTCTGCTATGCATACAATATGGCTGCCACGCACGCCTGTCAAATGTCAAGAAAAAGTGCTGCCAAGTTCTGCATTAATTAGTGCTTCAGCTGGTTTTGAGAATATACAGTGCTGGCAAAAATAAATGGAATTGTCTGGCATAAAATGACTTCGTCAATAATTTCTTAGCAATTCAGTAACTGTTTAAGTCAAGTGCTATCAAACTGTGTCATAGAGCATATTACGAGTCGTATGTCTAGCGCGTATTACTCTGTCTTTTCTTGGATTTGCGCCCACTGTGTGCGCGCGCGTGTGTGTGTGTGTCTGTGTGCCACATGCTGTGGCAATGGCAACGTATTTCCGTGGCCAGCATTCCCGCCAACACCTACGTCTCCAGCAGACCGGCAGGCAGTAACAGGATAAGCTTTTGTTTTACGCCAGCATTACCCACAACTTGGGCGGATTTCAGTAGCTGCTGCTGCTGCTGCTGCTGCAGCTGCCTTTTGCCATTGTTGTTGCTGCTGCAGGCATTCAGCGGTTTTTGCTCACTTTTTGTTGTTGGCTTCGGCGACGTTCCGTTAGCTATTCTGGGTCTGTGACTCAGCATAGTTTTTCACTTTTAACGTTTTGCGTTTTGCGTTTTCTTTTCTCCCTTTTTTTGTTTTCAATTTTGCAGCCTCCTTTGCTGCGGTCTAGCGACTGAGGTTTGCCCCAGCGTAATGAGTAAAGTTTCTAATGCTGCTGGCGCAACAACATAAGCGGCTGCTACGCACACACACACACACACACACACACAGCTGGCACAGCGCACTAAATGATGCGTACACACAGCCTGGGCTGACTCACAGTTGGAAGCAGGTCATATGGAAGAGCCAAAAGACTGCTCCTTTGGCTGCCTTTGCTTTTTGCATTATGCATTTAAAAATTTTGTGCTGCGTAAGCAAAACGCCTTTCGGTTAGCTGCCTGCTTCGATGCGGCTGGAAGATTTGTGGCCTTGGCTTTTGGTTTACCTATGGCTTGTGCGGCTTTTGCTTTATCATTGCGAGCGCACAAATTGATTTACGTTGCACCAAAGACTCAAACTATTCCATCTTAAATCCCTAAAAACGAAGCCCGCAAAGTGATGAAAATTGCAAACGGCCGTGGGAGGAGGGGAAAGGGCGAGGGAAATAGAGAAAGAGAGAGTTGTCCCATGAACAACTTGTCAACTCAATTTCAATTTGGGCAATTTGGACAACTTGTGCGGCTGCCTCAGCCTCTATAAGAACTAGACTTCAGCTCTCCCTCTGCCTCTCCTTCTCGCCTCTATCTCCATCTCATGCCGTGTGTGTATGTATGTCCTTCTGTCCGTTTGTCACGTTTTCTTGCACTGTGTTGGCACGTTTGGCTAGGCTGCCAACTGGCACAGGCAAGTTTTTTGTGCTTGCGTTGTCGGCGCCTTTTGATGTCTTTTAGTGCATATTTTATATGCAGTTTAGCCAGCGGCACAGTGGGACGCAACTCAAAGAAACTTCATCAATAGTTGATTCGCTTCCTACTTGCTCTAAGATCCCCCCAGCGAATGTCCTAATGTCTCTGCAAGTTCAGCTTTAGCTCTTAAATATGCCAAGCAGCTCAAGGCATAAAAGCAACCGCAGACATAAGAAAGATTTTATATAATATATGTATACGAGGGCCGCTTGATAAGTTCTTGGCCTACAAATAGGAAAAATAAAAATTTTGAAATGTGGAGATTTATTGCTTAAAATAACCTTCGTCAAGCAGGCCTTATGCCTGACTGAATTTCTCTTGCGATAGTGGCGCCATCTGGCGCTGAGACGATGTACCAAAACAGATCTATTCATAAAAATAGTAGTGCAATGGAGCTTTCTCTATATTTATATATATATTCATGCTATGCATACACATATATATAAAAACTCTAAACTAAGTCCATCTACATTTCTTAACATACATGCAGCAGACGTTTTCATAAATTTATATCTAACCCACTGCACAGTGGCACTAAAGCTAACACAATAAAAGCGTTTTTCGCACTAAGCCACTTAAATGTTTTTTCTCTATTTAATTAATTTTCACAAAAGTTAAGCTGTGCTTGCACCACCGTGTTGCACTACAAGTGCTTGTAGTTTTGGTGGTTTCACCAAAAAAAAACGAAAAAATAATGAGAACAATTTTCAATTAATTAAGCAAAGTTTTTGGGCTCCGCTCTTAAATGCGTTTTAAGTGCTGCCTTTGCATGCTGCCAAAAAGTAGTTTGCTTTGAGCGAGAGTTGGTTGCTTTGATTCCATTTTCTTTTTGTTTTCACCTCAGACTCACTCACTCACTCCCTCACTCACCTGATGGTTATCAGAGCGGAAGCTGTGGCTCGACCGAATCTGTTCTTCAGCTGGCACTCGTAGCGGCCGCCATCGAGGATGGTCACATTCTTGACAAACAAACTGCCGGCGCCACTTATTTGATATTTCTCAGTCAATTGGACATTGGGATCGATGAGGCGTCCATCGCGACGCCAAACAATCTGGCAATAAAGTTGAAAGATGAAGTTGCCAAAGTGGCGGAAAAGTGGCGCGGACGCAACTTACCTGCAGTCCGTCTTCGGGATGCTCGGCCTGGCAGGGCAGCTCGATGGTGGTGCCGGTAATGGCGACCAAATTGCTGGGCTCAATGGCCAGCCGTGGCGGCAATTGTGAGTGCTCCACTTTAATCGTTGCCTCCACGCTCACCTCGCCGTTCTCATTGCTCGCCGTGCAGCGGTAGACACCTGAAACAGCCATCGAAAGCAACTCGAATTGTGCAAACAAAAAGGCGTGTGGGTGGTGGTGCTATTGCTTACCTGCATGCTGCTGTTTGGCAACGCTAACCACCAGCTCCGTGTTCTCGTTCTCCAGCAGCAGGTCCGCATCGTTGGCGGAGGACGTTAGTGGATTGCCATTGAATTGCCAGGTTATGCTTGGCAGTGGATTGCCATCGGCATCGCATTCCAGCACAAAGGCTTTGCCCAGTTTGATTGTTTGGTTTTGTGGTGCCATTAAAATTTCGGGTAAATCTGCAAACCAGATGCAACGACCCGTATTGAGTGATTTAAGCAATTTCAACCGCTCCAAATGGCAGCGCACACTCACACACACACACACAAAGCACAAAAAAAGGAAAAACCGTCAGCTCAGTTTTCTATGCGTTCCATCAAACAGCTGCCCACAGTCCCCTTTCCCCCAACCCACCCAATGCTCCATATTGAGCATAAACATATTTTTCATTGCATACTTTTAGGCGCTGCGGGTCGCCATTTTGTATTTGCTTGTATATTGTATGCATGCATGTGTGTGTGTGTGCGTGTGCGTGTGCGTGTGCTCGCTGGGTTAATTATGCTGACCAAACGCAACGGCTCAATGCTTGAACAGCCAAACACCATCCGGCAGCCTGCCCCACAGCCACACCCTACAATGCAACGCCCACTTTTTGAAGTGCGTTCGCGCTTTATATATATATATGCATCATAGCATAATAGTTTATAATTTTTGCACTTAATTTGCAAAATAAAGCGCACATTTTGCACTTCATTTTGCGCTCTGACCACAAATTATAATGAGCCATTGTGATTAAGGCGTTGACTGCAGAGCATTTTCAACAGGCCACGTCCTGCCTTCCGGCTCTGCTGCCATAAAAAGTACAGTCACGTCGCAGCGCTTGGCTAAGAAATTAAAGATATTAAAGCCAAAGTTTAAACGCACTCGCACAGCTCAGCTATTTATGGCAATGGGCATTACGTGCCTCACATTTCGCCAGTTTCATTTGGCTAAAGTTTTTAGCTTGTGGCCAGCATACATAGATGTATATAGATGGCTTATTTATGATTGTCTATGTATATATTGTTTATTAATCGCAATTCTATAGCCTTTTTGTCGGCGTTGGCTTGGGATAAATGTTAGATATGTGGAATTTACAACTGAGATTTGCAATAAAACATGGATTACTCATGCAATTTGTAAGCAAAAAATGCATTGATAAAAGCTGTTAGAGTGGGGAGTATGCCACTGCTAGTTACCCTAACCAAATTATTAATTTAGTGTAAATTTGAATATTTGATATATTTATAAATAATTTGATATAATTTAAATAAAAATATGCTTAAGAAAATTCGTGTAAATCAAACTTTACTTTCAAAGTAGAAAAACTTGAAATATGCTCAATTCATTTTGCATGTCAGAAAGTAACTTCAAGAGTAATGAGTGAGTTTGATAAAAGTTTATTCGAATTACTTATTCAAAATTATAAAAATTTCTATATAAGTTGAGTAGTTCAAGGTTCCATAACTTTGCCAAAAACTAAAAGTTTTTGTTTCAGACAAGTTCAATATTTAATTTTTCGTTTCAGTTTTCTATAAAGATATTTATATAATTAAAATACACTACATACACTATATAGATACTGCCCGTTATTTATTTCTATTAAGCCTAACTCCAATCAACAGCAAATGTCCATAAATAACATAGAAAAGTACGCAAAAAGCAATACAAAATATAAAATAGAGCGAAACCCATAAAAATCATTGCAAAATAGGGAATACCCCAAACAGAGCAAAAAGAGTAAAAAATAGCGCTTTTTTCAACCAATTAATCTTAAGCTTTGGCCATTCGAATTGCAATAAAAACACTTGCTGTTGATATAAATGGAAGCTGACTTAAATGAAGCCGCCGATCGAATGGCCAGAACAACTGCAACTGTTAACTGAACTCCGTAACGAAGTTACAGACGAGCCGTTGCGGATTTATAAAGCTCGCAACGCGATACAAATTAAATCGACTGCAAATTGTGTTAAACGCGACAGTTCGGACTAAATGTGAAACCCCAACTGGACGCATTACAGTAGAGAGGGAGAGCGGTAGGGCGGTAGGGCGTTGTATACTCACCCTTGACTTCGATGTGGGCGGTAGCTTGGACACTGCCCAGACGATTGTGTGCCTCGCAACGATACGTGCCCGCTGTCAGCTGGCTGGGCTCGAGCAGGACGAGGCTGCCATTCGACTGCAACTGGAGCGCGGACGTGGACTGGGCTAGCTGCCGACCATTGACGAACCATTGTATGTCTGGCTGTGGCCAGCCGCGGGCAACACAATCGAGCAGCACGTGCCCGGACCCATGGAGTGCTACAATTTGGTCCACTGGCTTGCGGATGAAGGTGGGCGCGGCTGGTGTCGCATCGACGGCATCCCACGCCTGCTGCGCCACGTGACTGTCCAAACTGTTGTCGGCCTGGCTAACCAGCATTCGCACCGGCTGCGATTTGATCTCGCCCATCTCATTGCGCGCAATGCACTCGTAGATGCCAATGTCATTCGGTTCAACGAAATTGATGCGCAACGCGCCGCTCTCCAGCACCTGCATGTGCGGCGCCTGCTCCACACCGATCTCGTTAGTGCCGTGCATCCAGATGAGCTCCGGCTTGGGCTGGCCAACCACCTCGCACAGCATGTCCACAGTGTCGCCTTGATAGGCGCGTACGTCCTCGGGCCCAGACAGCAGTTGTGGCTTGGCTATGTTTGTTGGTTGAAATCAAGAAAATTAGATGCTTATAATCAAATTAGATTTGATTTATATTTGCGCAAAAGTTGATTATTTTCTAGTGGACAAAGCTCTTATATGAGCTTAAAGTTCTTATAATGCTAGCGCTCTTATTAGACCTCACTTGGGTTCTTTATATATTTAAATATTTTTAGAATATAAGCTTAAAAACTTAAGTGTATTTTAGCTGAGCTTTTATATATATTGAAATAAGTTTAAAAAAGTAGCTTTAAAGCTCAACTTTCTTAAAGTTGTCAAAGAGTAAAATATGTAGAAGAATTTGTGTCTAAGTCTTTTGCTTTCTTTTTTAGCTATATTGACTCAATACGACTCGAGCTTTTGTTATTTATTAATTTGAGGATTAACTTTTAACTATGTGCTTTAAAGCATATTAGAAGCTAAAAGCTGACATACATCATATTTGTTTTCTGATAACTTTGCTATATAGAAGCTTTCCATATTCGCTGAGCTTTCAGCAGCTTTAAAGCTACTAAATTGCATTAATCTGAGCAAATTCAAAAGTTTTTTAGGTGATATATAAAAATAATCTATGAACTTATAAGCTCTATTTAAAAGCTTAAGTTTGTTTGTAGCCTTTTCATAGTCCAATATTCAAATTCAGTTTTAAGCCTGTCAACTGCAAGTTGATTAATCTCATTGCACCAACTGTTTATTATTGTTTGCATTAATTTAATATCAAAATGAATTTGCAGTGGGCATCACTGTTCTTCTGACACTTGCAACAGCTGCTGCTGCTGCTGCCGCTGCTGCTGTCACTTACCACACTTGAAATGCAACTCGTTGAGGCTGGCAAAGCTTTGTCGCTGCAGTGCTGCGGGCTGGGCGCAGGTCAACGTGATGGTCATCAGCTGGCGCTGTGCATCCAGATGCCAGCGACGCCAGAGTGAATAGACACCGCAATTGCAATCAATCGGGTTGGCATCCAGACGCAAACGCTTCAGGCTGTGCAATTTGCTGAACACATCCAAAGGTAGATTCACCAGCTTGTTGTTATGCAGAAAACTGCGAGCGAAGAGTGCAAATAGTTTGAGCAAACATTCATGCGCGCTGCAAAGCGTACTTACAGTCGATTCAAACGGGGCAGATTGTCGAACAGACCGGCGGGCAGTTGCCAAATGTTATTGTCTTCCAGATAGCTAAATATTGAGATAAGAAGCAGAGCAGAGCCGAGCGGCGAGTAGTGAGAAATGCAGTCAACGTGGCGTATGCGCGTTTCTTTTAATTAAACTTGAACTCGATGCGAAATGGAAATCGTTAAGTGTGTAAAGAGTTTGAGTGTGCGTGTGTGTGAGTGTGTGTGCGTGTGTTTGTACTTACAGCGCCTCCAATCTTGGCAATTGCTGAAAGATGCCGGCGGGTAAGCGGCTTAAAGCATTCTTGTTCAAATAGAGAAACCGCAACGCTGTCAAACCCTTGAAGGCATCCTCCTCCACAGCAGCCAGCTGGTTGTCATTGAGGAAGAGCGTCGTCAGCTGTCCAAGTCCATTGAATGCATTGCTCGGCAGCTCCTCAAACTGATTGAAGCGCAAATCCCTGCAAAATGACAGCAATGAGACAAAGGCAACAAAAAAAAACAGATAACATTCAGTTTGGGTCGTGGAAGTTCGTTCATTCGTTCGTCTAATGGAGCTGAATGGGAATTTGCTATTCCACATTTTGCAAATTCCATTTTGCTTGCCGCAATTTGCGGCAAGTTGTTCCCTGTTCGGACATGTGTCAGGGCCAGCATCTGTGCGTGTGTGTTGGTGTGAATCCGTGTAACTGTGTCGAACAATTGCCATCTGTAATTAGTGCGTTACTTGAGCACACAATCAACAGTTAAGGGCGTGGCACAAGTCCTGAAAACTCGACAATAAAATTGGGCAGAAAAAGAAATGCGAAAAGCTAAAAGCTGAATGTGGCACAATAAATTCGAGTAAAACTTATGCGTTCGGCTCAGAACCTGCTTTAGTTTTAGCTCAGCTAACATCGAGGCCAACAGAATAATATACCATAAGTCGTAATAGCTAAAGCCGAGTCTAGCACAGGTTCAGAGTGAAGTGATCTCCGCGTTGAAGGTATTAGTTTAATCAAGCATTGATTAGGATGCACCTGTCAATGTCAGTTAAAAAGCAAAAGCATGTTCAACGGAATGCAAAAATCAATGTGGAGGGAATCAAGAGTTAGGGATATTAGGTCAAACGTAAGTGGGCTGCTGAAGGACCCTGGCTGAGCAGAGTTGAGTGAGTATGTGGATGAAGTGAAGGAAGATGAGCGAAGTTGAGCTAGCAAAGGAAAAGCGAAAAAACATTGGCTTGAAGGCGGCATGTAGATGAAGCAGATGTAGGCCAAAAGCGCAAGGGCGAAACCCGATTACAGAAAAGAAAAGTGGAACCTGAAAGCAACACTTGAAGCACACAGAAGCAGAGCAGCAGAGGAGCAGAGCAGCAGAGCAGCATAGCAGCAGCAGCAGCAGAGCAGCAGAGCAGCAGAGCAGCAGAGCAGCAGAGCAGCAGAGCAGCAGAGCAGCAGAGCAGCAGAGCAGCAGAGCAGCAGAGCAGCAGAGCAGCAGAGCAGCAGAGCAGCAGAGCAGCAGAGCAGCAGAGCAGCAGAGCAGCAGAGCAGCAGAGCAGCAGAGCAGCAGAGCAGCAGAGCAGCAGAGCAGCAGAGCAGCAGAGCAGCAGAGCAGCAGAGCAGCAGAGCAGCAGAGCAGCAGAGCAGCAGAGCAGCAGAGCAGCAGAGCAGAGCAGCAGAGCAGCAGAGCAGCAGAGCAGCAGAGCAGCAGAGCAGCAGAGCAGCAGAGCAGCAGAGCAGCAGAGCAGCAGAGCAGCAGAGCAGCAGAGCAGCAGAGCAGCAGAGCAGCAGAGCAGCAGAGCAGCAGAGCAGCAGAGCAGCAGAGCAGCAGAGCAGCAGAGCAGCAGAGCAGCAGAGCAGCAGAGCAGCAGAGCAGCAGAGCAGCAGAGCAGCAGAGCAGCATATCATCATATGATCATATCATCATATCATCATATCATCATATCATCATATCATCATATCATCATATCATCATATCATCATCATCATATCATCATATCATCATATCATCATATCATCATATCATCATATCATCATATCATCATATCATCATATCATCATATCATCATATCATCATATCATCATATCATCATATCATCATATCATCATATCATCATATCATCATATCATCATATCATCATATCATCATATCATCATATCATCATATCATCATATCATCATATCATCATATCATCATATTATCATATCATCATATCATCATATCATCATATCATCATATCATCATATCATCATATCATCATATCATCATATCATATATCATCATATCATATCATCATTATATCATCATATATACTTTAACTGTCATATACTTTTAATATAGGCAACACACTTTTATCTCTATATTTATTTTTCAGTATATTTAGCGAATTATTAATCTTTTTATATATACAAAATATTTCTATATATATGCATATATATTTTTTTTATTTATTGAATCTCTCCAATATTCATATCATATTTCATTTCAATTTAGATATTTAAACCTAAGCAGCATACCAACTTCTTAGTACAGTTTGCTTGCTCTAACAATTAATTTACGTCTTACCCCAAGTCTGCCTGACTTTACTCAATAATGAATGAGCTTAACACTTTGCAATCATCTACCCATAATAATAGCATTTGAGCATATTAAATGTGATGTATAAAGTTGTTATTATGCTTATAATAACAATCTGACAGCCTCTGGAGGTTGGCTTTATAATCAGTTTTGTGGCTTCCCATGCTTATATCAAAGGCAAAAGTAAATACTCATTTAGAGAACATTTTACACACATTAAAAATTAATTAGGAAAAGTTGTATGCGCCGTAGTTTTTATGCTTAGCGACAGCGCAGCCAAGCGATAAGCCGCACGCACACATACAAAACAACAATTACGCTCACACACACACACACATACAGACACGTATAGAAACAGAGCGAGATGTGAACACAGAAACGGATCTCCCACATATGTTCGCGTTTCGCGAACTCTTCTAAACTTCCCGCCTAATGGAAACAAGTGAGCCACGCGGCAAAGCTAACGACAACAGCAGCAGCAGCAGCAGCAGCAGCAGCAGCAGCAGCAGCAGCAGCAGCAGCAACTGAAAAAACTTTCTAATCAACTCTTGGAGTTTGCACTGCAAACAACAATAACAACAACCGCTGTAAGTTGAGCAGCAACAACAACTCGTTAGGGTGCAAATTCAATGCGGCAACAGCAGCAGCAACAGCAACAGCAACAACAACGACGACAGCAAAGCCGGTAACAAAAAAGGCAATTGCAAACGAGAAAACTCTGAGGCATGCCCGACCAGAAATACGCTGTAATCTAGAGTAATCATCGATACTTTGCTAAACTACCTATCTACGTAGCTACCGATCAATCTATGTATATAGCTAGCCTCTACCTATCATCTATCTATCTATCTATCTATCTATCTATCTATCTATCTATCTATCTATCTATCTATCTATCTATCTATCTATCTATCTATCTATCTATCTATCTATCTATCTATCTATCTATCTATCTATCTATCTATCTATCTATCTATCTATCTATCTACTATCTATCTATCTATCTATCTATCTATCTATCTATCTATCTATCTATCTATCTATCTATCTATCTATCTATCTATCTATCTATCTATCTATCTATCTATCTATCTATCTATCTATCTATCTATCTATCTATCTATCTATCTATCTATCTATCTATCTATCTATCTATCTATCTATCTATCTATCTATCTATCTATCTATCTATCTATCTATCTATCTATCTATCTATCTATCTATCTATCTATCTATCTATCTATCTATCTATCTATCTATCTATCTATCTATCTATCTATCTATCTATCTATCTATCTATCTATCTATCTATCTATCTATCTATCTATCTATCTATCTATCTATCTATCTATCTATCTATCTATCTATCTATCTATCTATCTATCTATCTATCTATCTATCTATCTATCTATCTATCTATCTATCTATCTATCTATCTATCTATCTATCTATCTATCTATCTATCTATCTATCTATCTATCTATCTATCTATCTATCTATCTATCTATCTATCTATCTATCTATCTATCTATCTATCTATCTATCTATCTATCTATCTATCTATCTATCTATCTATCTATCTATCTATCTATCTATCTATCTATCTATCTATCTATCTATCTATCTATCTATCTATCTATCTATCTATCTATCTATCTATCTATCTATCTATCTATCTATCTATCTATCTATCTATCTATCTATCTTATCTATCTATCTATCTATCTATCTATCTATCTATCTATCTATCTATCTATCTATCTATCTCTCTATCTATCTTATACCTATCTATCTACTTATATCCTTTTTGTTATCTGCCATCTGTCTATCTCAGTATTTACCATATATCAATGGTTACCTTCATCCCACGCTCTTTGTCTAATCTATCTTTCATTCAACATGATTGTTAAAAATCTATTGATTTATCTATTTATCTACATGCTTTACACTTTTTTCATATATCTGTCCACATATCAATTCTGAAATATTTGCCTTAAATAAATAAATATTATTTATAAATAGTTTTAAATTCCAAATGTATAAACAATATTAGATGCAACTTCATTAATCACAGGGTAGCCGCTGCGAGCTGCCAGCATAAATGTTAACAATACAAATTATGCCCATCTGGCAACGCTGCGCTGAGCTGTGGTGAGCGCTGTGTGCTTTCGCCAGCTTCAGTTACCGTTAGCTATGGGTGCAGCCATTGCTTTGATTGTTGTTGCTGTTGCTGTGGTTGGTTGGCAGCGATAATTATGGCACAGGAGCTGCAGGAACTGTAACTGGAGGCGAAGCCACAGTTTAGTCCTCGTTTCGGCAGAGTTGTCTAAACAAAAATTATGTTTTGTGGCTACTGTAAACATGCAACACACGAAGCGCAACAACAACAACCTGCAGCAGCAGCAGCAGCTAACCCTAATTGGTGTCAGCGTTCAGTGCGTGTGTGTTGGTGTTGTTGTTGTTGTTGTTGGTTAAGTGCATATGCTTCATGTGTGTGTTGCAACTAAAGACGAGCAGCAGCAACAAAAAGGCAGCACAAAAAACGCACGACAACGAAAACAACTTAAAAATCCAGAACAACACTAAAACCACTCACACGTACAGCTTGAGGGCATCAACAACAACAACAACAACAACGACATGCAGCACAGACACATATGCAGCGCCCAAATGTTGGCACATAAACAAAGGCGCTGGCAGCGCTGCCGACGTCGACGCCAACATCGCTGCTTGGCCAAGGGACTCAGACCCGAACCCGAACCCGAACCCGGACCCGCACCCGGTCAGGTCGATTCCTGTGAAAAGAAGCAAGCCCCCGGGCTGCTTCTGTGTGGCTCCACTTTGGCAACCACAGCGCCCGCTCGTTGGGTCGCTGGGTGGGCGAATAAGCTGGAAGGTAGTT